TAAAAATCAAATTTCGATCAAGTAGTTTATTAATTACTATGAATATTGATAATTTAAAAGAGCAGAAAAGTAGACCAACATTTTTCGGGGTAATTCGTATAAACGATACTATAGACACTTAATATTATAATATAATATTTACTATGTTTATTGTTTAATAAGCCTATTATTATGGCTTATATATAATAGTTAATATTTTAATTAGAATGTATTTTGAAATCTGAAATACAAAAACATGCATTTATAAATAAAAATGATGATTAAATAAGTTTAGACTTGTGGATCTTAAATTTTTGATAAACGCGGACCCTTGATGGGAAACTTGTAGAAATCGTGGGATTCCCTACCGATTTTCTTTGGAATACCTACCTATTTTTTTTTTACAATATATCCCTTTCGTTTTATAATAATGAACCCATAATCTAAACTCTGTTTACACGTGTTCGCTCACACGTCGATTCTACATCTGCTCTTCCCCATGGAACAAAGCCATCAAGACCGGTTCCTGCACTATGGCAGGGCGTCGCGTAGGGATGCGTATAAGAATCGATTTTCGTCGGGACTGCAGTGCTGCTTAACATGTGTTTTTCGAGCCTTTCGGCTATGGTTGAGTTACGATCCGACGCGTTTTGCGCTGGAGACCAGTGAATTCCGGCCCGCGATAACCTTCTTTTCAGCTGAAGGTGAGTGGCGACCTAAATAATAATTCACCAGACTCTCATGTTCCCCCTAGTATTTGGGCACAGTTTACTGTTAGCTACAATAGTTGCAACGATTTAGGCCCATTTAGTCGAGACTCAATTTGGCAAAACCCATTTCGCCGAAAAAAATAAAAAATAAATGTATATATATATATTATATTATTATTAATTATTACATTTTATATTACGATATTATATATTATATAATGTTACATATTATTATGTAGCATATTAAATATTATGTACCTATATAGGTAAGATATTTCCRTCGCAAGTGACTTGTTGGAAAACGTTTCCGTTATCTTATCGCTGATGAAGTGACGATAATAATAAAATCTTCAATCTAAAAATTTTCACATACAATGGGTTACGCACTGTCACTGAATTTAGTCTGCACTCTGCAGTCACCTTTGCAGTATATTTTACAAATTTATATCATACACAATTTTAAAACCGAATATGTCTTGGTATAAAATTAATTCAAACCGAGGTAAAAAAAAACAATTAGTAGTGGACATATAGCCACATAGGTTAAAAAATGTAGCGGAAATAATGAATATTATAAATGTATCAACAACTGTGGAGGACGAGCAATACTAAAGTCAGAAACAACTGCAATAATTTCAAAAAATCACAATCATCCGACGTATGGAGTTGAATTGGTGCAACGTGGATTTTGAGAGATTCTAAAGGTGAAATTATAAATGGAATTTATTTTAATTTAATTTAAATCATATTTGTTAAAAAGAAAAAAACGAAAATATGTCAAAAAATATATWTTTTTTATTATTATACCGTTAAATATAAAAAAAATTTCAATTTCTATAACTTAGAAATCATCTCTCATCCCTAATTATAATTCATAATATAATTTAACTATATAATTATAAAATATTATTTAGGAAAAAGTTGTTTCAATCCAACAATATCTGTACCTCAGAGTTTCCACAAAGTGAGGCGATCTCTTGTGTCTTCAGAAATAAAGGGTTGCACCAAAATCGGAAGTAGAAGATGCTGTTCCTCTCTATACTAGTGTTTGAAATCCTTAGCATATAGAAAGCGGATGAAATTACCAACAATACCTACAAAGTTGTCGGAACTTATTCTTGAAAACGTAAAGTTATTCCTATAACCAATTTATTGCTGTTGCAAYCCTAAAACTGATGCCCATTTTCCTTTCTTTCCCAAATTCTTAGGAATTCTAATCATAATAATTATTAATTAATTAATTTTTGATATCTATAGCTATTTTTATAATTTTATTATTTGTCCAATTGATGAACAATTCCTAAAGTTCCTAAAGATTAGAATTTAATTCATTTATTTTATTTTCTAATT